ATCCAGTTGTAAGGGTTTCAGTGGTTTGAAACTCAGTGTGAAACAACCAGAAGGGAAACACGGGCTGTGCTCGGCTGCCCTTGGACAACTCTCCGCGGGTGGTGACCATGGGTGCTTTGCTCCAGGAAATGAAGCAATGACCACAGCTCACCGTGCATTGCTCAGAGCTGATTGCAGAAAGGGACACCAGGATGGGGCCCTGCTTGGCGCCAGGAGAGGAACTGCACTGTGGCACAGCACTGCCAATGTGTCAACTGCCCACAGTGGGTGCAGGACTGTGCCTCATCCCCCAGCATAGAATCATAGAGGGGCCTGGGTTGCAAAGGCACACAGTGCTCACCTGGTTCCAACCCCCTGCTGTGTGCAGGTCGCCAACCAGCAGCCCAGGCTGCCCAGAGCCACATCCAGCCTGGCCTTGAATGCCTGCAGGGATGGGGCATCCACAGCCTCCTTGGGCAACCTGTTCCACTGCCTCACCACCCTCTGGATGAAAAACTTCCTCCTCATATCCAACCTAAACCTCCCCTGTCTCACTTTAAAGCCATTCCCCCTTGTCCTATCACCATCCAGCCTCACAAATAGCTGTTCCCCCTCCTGTTTATACGCTCCATTCAAGTACTGGAAGGCCACAATCAAGTCTCCCCAGAACCTTCTCTTCTCCAAGCCAAACAATCCCAATTCCCTCAACCTTTCTTCAATTGCATGGCCAGGCACCGCTTGCCCGGCCACGCAGTTCCACGAACATGCAACAAAATCCCCCTTTGTTCCAAAAAATAGTTTCTTCCAGCTCCCCAAGACATTTTGGTTTTATTCTTTTCGTTTCCTTTCAACCTCCATAAGCCATTCTTAGGTTTCCCTTCCACCATTCGCTTGTCAGAGTTTCCAGCACGAGGAAATCCCGTATCCAGGTCTCCAAGAGCTGTCGGTGGTCCTGAAAACTCTCCTCTCTTCCAACCACGACCGCCAGCCCAGCGCTGCGACCACCACGGCACAGCCCGGATGGACCCACAAGTGGGACCAGCATCGGTGGGCCCAACGGAGAGGAGCTGAAGGAGCTGGGATTGTTCAGTCTGGAGAAGAGGAGGCTCAGGGGAGAGCTGACTGTTCTCTAAGACTGCCTGAAGGGAGTGGGGACACCATGAGACATGGAGGACCCCAATGGGATACTGGGACATCAGTGGGACATGGAGGACCCCAATGGGACATGGAGGACCTTGAGTGTGGAGAAGAGGCTCAAGGGAGACCTCATTGCTCTCCGTAGCTATCTGAAGGGAGGTTGTAGTGAGCTGGGGGTTGGCCTCTTCTCTTGTGTAACACTGATAGAACTAGAAGGAATGGTTTCAAGCTGCGGCCAGGGGAGATTCAGGTTGGAGGTTAGGAAATACTACTTTTTTGAAAGAGTGGTCAAGCACTGGAATGGCTGCACAGGGAAGTGGTGGAGTCAGCAACCCTGGAGGTGTTCAAGGAACGGTTGGATTTTGTGTTGAGGGACATGGTTTAGTGAGAGCTATTGGTGATGGGTAGATGGTTGGACTGGGTGATCTTGAAGATCTTTTCCAACCTTGGTTATTCTGCGATTCTGTAATGGGTACGGGGAGCCCCCCAGCTCCCACCCACTGTCCCCAGCTCCCACTCAACCCCAGTGTTGGGCCAGTGATGCTTTCCTATACAGCCCAGACCCCAGGAGCCAGAGGGATTTGGGGAACTGACACCCAGCCCCAAACGGTGACACTGAGATGGGGCTCAGGGGAAAGAACAGAGGGACCTCAAAACAGGGGACACTACAGCAGTGGGTGCTGCTCTCCAGCCCCATCGATGGAACATGCAGCCCTACAGGGCCACACCAAGCCTGGGTGAGCACCAGTCAGCACTGAGTGCTGGTCTGTGAGCGCAGGACAGCCCTTCAGCCGTGGTGCAGCACTTTGGAGGCAGCTCCTGGTGCTGTTGTGGCCGGGGCACCGCAATGAGTGGCCGTGCAGTTGGGAGCAGCACTGTTACAGCCAGACTCTGTGATCTTAGGGGTCTTCTCCAACCTGTGTGATTCTAAGATTTGAGCAGTGGAAGGTTCCAGAGCTGCCTCCAGAAAACAGTGGCAATGGAGAGACCTCAGAAGTCCCCAGGGGCAGCTCCTGGGCAGGTGTAAGGCTCCCAGTAAGGGAGGGCTTTGTGCTGAGAGGTCAGGCACCGCGCAGCTGCACAGAGAGGTGCTGCTGCCCATCCCTGTAGACACCCACGGTCAGAGGATGGGGCTCTGAGCACTTGTGGAGCTGTGGGTGTCCCTGCTCAGTGCAGGGAGTGGGACCAGATGGCCTTTGGAGAGCCCTTCCAACCCACACCATTCCACAGTTCTATGGCTCCTGAGCAGCTCCTCACCCACCAGGACCCTCAGGTCCGGCTGTCCAGAGCTGTGTGCTGGCAGAAGGAAGTCAGAGGAACCAGCACTGATCACTCAGCCTTACAACAACCCGAGCCACAGGCAAAATAACCCCATCTCTAAACCCCCAGTGCAACTGAGAGCCATCATGATAACACCCAACAAACACCAGCAGCAATGCTGGCTGCCGTTCACTCCACGTGGGGTGGCTCCAAATACTGCAACACAGAATGGCAGCAGGAACTGCACCATGGAGCAGAACTTGCTGTTGGGTGCACATAGTAACAGTTGCTTGAGAATCACTCCTCCTGATCACAACGTGTGAAGAAATGAGATCCAGAACCGGCGCATTCATCGTGTTCCTGGTTTCCCCTTGTTCCCAGGTTGCTGTCCTGAGTTCCCCATGCAAGGAGCCACTTCTCTCTGCAACCTCAGCACTCCGAGGCTGGTGCCCATCGGTTCTCCCCTTGCTTGGGGTTCTGACATCTCATTTTGTTTGTCATTACCAGCGACAAGCAGCTCAAGGACAGACTCCCCTCTCTGCACATTCTTTTGCTATCTTACGGATGAAATATCAGCATCGATTGTTATCCAAAGTCACCCAATGGCCACCAGGACGGTCACAGCACGCTGCCATGCTCACTTCCTGACCCACACTGTGCTTTCAACCCAATTCCTACCGACAGCTCATGAAGAAATAGGATGGGGATGCGGTGAGGATATGGGGATGGGACGGGGAGGGGATGGAGATGAGGATGGGATGGGGGAAAGGATGGTGATGGGGACAGGATGGCAATGAAGAAAGATCCAGAGCAACAAACCCAGCACAAGACCAACGCCATCACACCAGGACACGGCAGGAACCTGGCAGGAGCCGACCTGCTTTTAATATGGGGTGCAACATTAAGTGGAACACAAGGAAATGCTCCGGATCTCTTGCAGGACCTACAGCAATTGCTTTGGAATGCAGCCCCGCTTCACACCGTCCTACAGGTCCTATGGAGAAGGGGATGGGGCAGTGTGGGGCAGAGGGGCTCAGGGAGAGCTCAGCGCTCTGTGCTGCCAGTGAAAGGAGGCTGGATGAAGGAGGGGTTGGTCTCTATCCGCAGGGAATGGGGGTGGGACAGGAGGGAATGGGCTCAGGGTGCAATGGGGAGGGTCGGGTTGAAGACTGGGAACAACCTGTGCTGCAAAGAGCGGCCAGCACTGCACAGCTGCCCAGGGCAGTGGGGAGTCCCCATCCCTGGGGGTGTTCAGTGACCACAGGGATGTGGCACTGGGGGACGTGGGCAGTGGGATGGGTTGGGGTTGGACTGTTGATCTGAAAAGTCTTTTCCAACCTGAATGATTCTACGATCACCCTGCAAAACCAGGACAGCCTGCTCATGACTCCATGTCCCTCTAGCTATACATCAGCAGCACAACAGCAGCACACAGCCCACCTGCCCTGCCCGAGGTCCTTCCCACAGGGCAACCATGGGACCCTCCTGCTGAGCCCCAGCCACGCTGTGACGCAACCAGTCCTCCTCTCCAGCACCGCATCCCATGCTCAGAGATGTGCAAACAGCAACAGGTGAGTTCATGAATGACACATTCTGCTGCAATCACTACAGACTGCTATGGGACCACCTCCCTAACGCAAATGCACGACGAGATGAAGAATTGCAGGATGGAAAACACCGCTCAGTGGGTGAAGATGGGAAAAGCCCCATCTCTGCAGTGACTCCTCCAGCAAACACCACACCTACAGCCACAGCTGCAGCCCTCTGCTCTGCTGCCATGTGAGGTGTGCACAGCTCAGGACAACTCCTGAAGGTCCCACGTGCACCCAAGCTGCGATGCCCCGATCAGAGAGCTGACGTGAGCAGTCAGGGGAGCAGCTCCAGCCCACGGCAGCGAGAGCAGGAAGATGGAAAGAAGAAGGAAGATCCTTCAACTTTCTGTGAAACGCTGGAATTGGGTTCTTCCTCGCAGAGGAAGCCTCTTCTCACTGCTACCTGCTGGAAGCCGACTCCTGACCCACCGCAGGTTTCCAAGCAGCTGCCCAATGTAAATGTCAATGCCATCATCCCCCTCAGCCGCCGTCTCCCATCGGCTCTGCATCGCCGGGGCTGTGCGGCTGGGAGCTCTGCATGGACGGTGTTTCCTCTCCGCCCGAACTCAGGCACTGCATTGGATCGGGGCCGCTCACCCCAGCAGCGCCCGCAGACCGCCCCAGCAAAGCGCCGTCCAACTCACCGGGGCTCCCAGCCCAGCACCGAGCGCAGCGCCCGCGCCACGGAGCTGCCACCGAGCACGGGGGCCTGCGGTGCTCAAAAGGACCCAGCAAGGCTCCGAGGCCCCGCACCTGGGCACCACACCTGATGCCCACATCCACGCCCCGCGGCTCCGCCGCCGAGCCCCGACCCCGGGCTCCAGGCCCCCGCTCCGTCGCACCGTGATCCCGCACACCGACCTGCAGCTGCCCGGCGGCCCCAGCCCCGCCGAGGGTCCCACCCAGCCCCGCATCCCCTCCCCAGAAGCACGGGGCCAAACACCACCGGCACCGCTCTGCCGCGCTCTCCCGCCGCCGCCGCGACCCCCGCCCCGCATCCCGCAGCGTCGCCCGCATCCCCGCCGCACTCACCCTTGACGGCTTCTCCCCGGTTCAGCTGGATCTCTCCCTCGCCCTGCGGCGCGTAGCTCTTCACCACGATGAACTTACGGCCGGGCACGGCGCTGTACAGCTTCCGTTTGGGGCCGCGCAGCGGGGCGGGCGCGGCGTGCGGCGCGGGCTCGGGGCCGGGGCCGGGCCCGGGGGGACCCGCCGGGCCGCCGGGGCTGTAAACGAAGACGTACGTTACGGTGCTGATGCCCGGCAGCTCGCGGCCCGCGGGCTGCGCCATGGCGGGGACGGCGGCGGCCGCGGCCGCGGGGGGCTCCGGGGCTTCAGCGCAGCCCCGGCCGCCGCGGCGCCGCCCGGGCGCGGGCAACGGCTGC